TAACGGCACAAATCGAGCACAAACGAACGGCACCGAATTAGAGATTTGGACGGCATGGGGTGGAGAGTGAAGTGGGGTGCCAACTTCACGGAGGTCACCCACATACTACTAACAGGATGCTTTCTGCAGTAGCCTATATTTTGTCTTCAGTTGCACACCTAAACTGTCAAATACATACAAAAATTGGAATGCCCAAAATTAAAATGCCCATCTCGGTGAGTATTCACATAAATAAATTCGACGTAAGCACTCTGTAAGCAATGTGCGTTGTTCTTCAATCATGCACATGTTGGGTTTCCATGTTTTATGGGGGATTTCTATACACACAATTATTTTTATACTGTACAAACTGGATATTCTATCCCCTAAACCTACCCCCAAACCTACCATTAACCAAAAATGAAACAAATAAATGGCTCTTTAGTCAAAAAAAGTTTCCCATCCCCTGATCTGCACACAAATTAACAGTTAGACCAGGGGTGTCCAAACTAGGGCCTATGTCCAGTTACAGCCTGTGGATGAATTTCAAACAGCCCGCAACTTGTCTATTAAAATATATTATATGTGGCCCGCCACGCACAATTTAAAAATCTTGCAGTTCCACTATGTCAAGGTGACAGCACAAGATTTTAGGCCAGGTGGAGCTGCAAAATATGAGTGATAACTATTTCATAACTGATTTCTGTTGGGCAGGAGAATTCTTAATCAAAAGTGTACAAAACACAAATGTCTTGGTGATTTAAACTAGTTGAAATCCAGAAGAAACTGCGCTGACATTCTCAACAACACTGAATCAGAAATAACTAAATGCCATAAAGCCATTCTAGATAACATTAGAAACCTTATTGTTATTTTTTACCATGTGTGCCATGTGTGGTTTTACCTGTGGTTATCATGATCTAAATGTATGATACTATGGAAGACCAAAGGTTAATTTTAATAAGATTATAGTTCTACCTCATTAGAATATTCAGATTTTACCCTTTAAAAACAAGGCTGTTAAATTTTTTTACAGATGTAACTGTTTGTGTTAATGAAAATAAATTTACATCTGCATCTCAACTACTCAAGCTACTTTCCAAGAGACAAAACATGTAAAATTATTAATATTAAATAAAGTAAATCACGTGCTGGTGCCACTGGTCTCAAATATTAGTCTGGAGCCCTATATAGTATCCGGCCCCCAAGTGTGTCCACAACATCGAATCTGGCCCCCTTTAAAACAAGTTTGGGCACCCCTGAGTTAGACCATCTACAGATACATTTTAATGGACAGATCATCTACAAACACACATCAACAGCCCAGCTAACAGGGAAGGTTCTCAGAACTTTGGCTAACGTTCTCTCAAGGTTATAAACAAACTTTCCTCCAGTAATGTTAACAGAATGTTTGTTCAAAGTTATCTGGTCTTTAATAATGTTCTCAAATGGTTAGACAAACATATTATTTACACGTTGTTTGTAGAAGGTTTTTAAATGTTCTCATAATAATGGGAGAAAACATTCTTAGAACAACATTGAACATCCTTCTCAGCTAACAGGGGACATTCTCAAGAGGTTGACACAACAACGTACTTATACATTGTTTCTAGAACTGGAACATTTTAGTAGATGTCCATCTAGAGTTTTTTTTTTTTTTTAAATGTTACTACTTGGTTGTTTGATCATTAACCTTAATCATCTGAAGTTTGTTGTCCTTCTAATGTTTAAAGGACACTTCAAGAATGTTGTTCTAAGAACATTTCTTCCTAAAATATGAGAACATAGCAATTCTATCAACATCATACGAATGATCAGTTAACATTACTTTAAAAATTATTCATCCTAACATTTACATAATCTTATGTGTCCACACTACAGTGTTAAAAAAACACTAAAGCAGTGTTGGATTGAATTCGATAATTAAGTGATGACTGACCATTAGTGATCACACCTAATGTTAACAAGCAGAATCACTGAAGGAAAGAGAAACAGAAAAAAAAGAGACGAACAGAAACACAACTACAACTGACTTCCAGTCTCAGCCCTAGATTAAATCCGCTGAAATAAAACCCATTACATTACCCGCTTCACTTATTACTAACCAGTTTGACTTTATTTCTGTCATATGTCTAAAAAGGTTTTTATTGAGAACAGAGGTTTAGATGCTGAATTTGTTTCCATTTGTTTCAAAGTCACCATTAAGGCGATCAGTGTTTGCTTTAGTTGAGCTATTTGACCCTTGACTTTCTAACGTTAGTTTTTCTTTGGTTGCTGCAAGTCTATGTTTGAAAAAAAGACACATTTGTTACAGCAAAAAAGCCCAAAGAAAATGTGTTCAGGTGGTGTTGGCTAGTTGTTAATAATGACTTAGTTGTCATGTAGTGGCATGATTTGTTAATCCCATCCAGAGTTTAAATCTGTGATTATATGTGACGCAAAAGTGGTTTAATATTGTTGGTGAAAGTTATGCTTTAATCTGGTAATTTGATTGATTGTAAAAACAATTTTGAACAACTGTATGATTAAGATGCAAACATTCATCAAGAATCAGCATATGAATTTCAACAATGGTGACAATAAACAAAAATCCTCATGCTGCAGTACATTCTGGGTGCACCAATCAAAACTCATTCATGGCTTCCAGAATGCATTGCAACATGAATAAATTATGCACATGAATTGTCTTAGTATTTTCTTTTAATCTTACTATTTGCTTTAATTTTTTGCTATGTTTGTTGTGACTTTTTAGTAGCTTGTTTTGTGATGTTCAAAGATCTGTTTATCTGAATATTTTGTTGACTGTCACCAATGTTGAGATTCATATGCTGATTCTTCATGTCTATGTGTGCCGTAATAGAAAACATTTTGGGCACAACATATTTATAAAATTGTTCACTTTGTCAAAAACTCAATCTGAAGAAATAAAGAGCTATTATAGTCAGCAATGTCAAATGTAATAATCAGTGAACAAGCCATGATGATTTTGTCAGCATTAAACAGCCAACATCACCTGATTCTCCAGGTTTTCTTTGCTATAACAATGTGCTTTGTAAACACAGAATTACAGCAGTCAGAGAAAAACTAATGTTAGAAAGTCAAGGAACAAGAGCCCAACTCAAGCAAACACTATTCACCAAAATGGCAACCTTCAAATGAAATAAAACTATGAACATAAACCTCTGTTAATTCTCAATAGGAACTTTTGCATGACAGAAATAAAGTCACAGCGGTTAGTAATAAGTAAAGCTGGTGATGCTGTTTGTGGAGTTGTTTAATCCTCCTCTGCTGAGATCTTCAGAGATTTAATGTTTTATTTCAGTTGTTTTCATCTAAGGCTGTGACTGGAAGTCAGTTGTAATTGCTGTGTTTCAGATGGTCTCTATTTTTATATAGACATGCAGACATACAGTAATGTTAATTTAACACTGAGGATTTTGATGTGTAGATGCTGAGATGTTAATAAAACTTCAGTTGAAAGAACATTTCAGAACATCATACTAACCTTTAAATGATGTTCTATTAACATTAAGGAAACTTGGCAATGTTATGTTCTTGGAACATTACAAATCAATGTTCCTAGAATGCTGAGTAATTAATGAAAATTAAGTTGAAAGAACGTTTCAGGAACATCACACTAACCTTAAAAAAACGTTCCACTAACATTAAGAAAACTGGACATATAGAACGTTCCCATAACCAAAAATATGTTCTTAAAACGTTCTTAGAACTTAAAATTGTTAGCTGGGAGACAGATCATCTACGGAATTCACAGACAGGTGCATATATTTAGCATGCTGAAGATCCTGTTCAGACACACGTCAATATTATGAGCAGCTGACTGTAAATTATCTCTTATATGTTCTTAATACCTCAGTATCTCCAGCTGACAGTTTGGACTCTTCAGTCCATCAGAGAGCAACTTCACTCCTGAATCCCGCAGGTCATTGTTACTCAGATCCAGCTCTCTCAGGACAGAGTTTGGGGATTGTAGAGCTGCTAACACAACTTCAAATGACTGACCAGTCAGATTACAGCCAGCAAGACTGAAAGACAGTCAAACACATGAGAATCAAATTCATAACCTCATACTAAAACTAGCATTTCAATTTGGTTCAGTGTCAGTCTAGTATAAAGGGTTATTAAATTCCTAAAATAAGCAAAATATACTTAAGATTAGTTAGCACGACAACAGGAACTTTAATTCCAGAAGTGATTCTGCACTGTGAGACATGATTAAACACTCACAGAGCTTTTCTGCAGTTGAGCACAGCTGGTACCAGTCTTCTTCTCCCCTCATCTGATGTGTTGTATTTCTTGAGTTCAAACTCATCCAGCACCTCCTCTGACATCTGAAGCATGTAGGCGATTGTTGAGCAGTGAGCAGGAGAGAGTTTCTTCTCTGAGTGTTTGTCTGATTTCACAAACTCCTGAATCTCTCTGGACAGAGTCTGATCTTTCACTTCCAGCAGACAGAGGAACAGATTGATGGATCTTTCAGTGGAGAGTCCATGTCCATCTTTGATCTTCTCTTTAATGTACTGTGTGGTTCTCCTGATGCTCTCTGAGCTGTTCTCTGTGTGTGTCAGTAGATCCTGTAAGAGTCTCTGATTGGACTCCAGTGAGACGCCCAGCAGGAACCGCAGGAACAGATCCAGATGTCCATTCTCACTCTCAAGGGCTTTTTCTACTCCTCTTTTTTGCAGATTATGCAGTGAATCTAAACATGCTTCTGTACTGATGCTTATGTGGTAGTAAAACACGTGGAAAGCACTGAGAAACTCCTGAATGCTCAGATGAATGAAGCTGTAGACTTTCCTCTGATGAATCA